AGCACTTTATATAGCCTCTGTAGAAATTATCCACACATCTCACTTATCTTACCTGCACTACTGTATAGTTCTGTATAAATAATCATTCTGTACAATACGATAATTTTAATTCTACAACTGTTTATAACTTGCATAGTTCATATTTCTGTATAGCTTTCATATTTATATCCTGTTCATAGCCTGTACATACTTATAGTTATACATTATTTTTTACATTACATTATTATGTGTACATTATAACATACCATAATAGACCCATATCTGTAATATACTCACATATCTATATTATTACTAATATATATTTGTAATATATCTATATCATGGCTAAAGCACTTCTGGATGGATGCAAACTGCATTTCATCGCCTGTACTTGTGACATGTCCAATGACAATAAAGTTGAATTCTATTCTATTCTATTCAATTCTAATAGGTGGTCAGATTAAATACTAATTTATGAGGCTACTTGAAAACGTATATACTTTGTTTTCACATCTTTTATCATTACACCTAATTCCAATTTTCCTAGCAAAATATAATGAGGGGTGGCTCAAGGTGTTTGTCGAGCACTGTACTTTCAAGGTAACTCTGTGTGCAAGTTTGTGCTTTATACTGCACAATGTTAGACGTTGGTTTCAGTCCATCTCTTATCGGTTCCTAATTCTAGTTGCACTAATCAGGATGCTTAAAGTGTGCCTGTCTGTGTACCTGATATAGTGACCAAGACATTGAGTCCTTCCAGGACGTCCATCTGCTGGAAGCGTCGGCGGTTAATCAGAGGGTAAACTTTCCCCTGACCACTGCGATCCAACAGCATCAGGCCGCTTTCTGTTCCCACCAGTAAGTTCACTCCTACACACAAATGCACAAACATGCCCATAAGGATAACGTCCAAAAAAAGCCACTGAGCTCAACTGGAGGTCTGCTGCTTGGCCTGACGGCGCTAGTATGTGGCCTTATTAGAGCTTTGCTGCCACCATGTGGTGAAGGCCTTTATAACTACAACTTCTGGTAAAAAGCTGGACTTTGATGAATGTTAATACAAATACTTAAACATTGGCACAACAAATTTACCTTTAATAATAATTTACATCAAACAAATCCTTATTAAATAAGTAGCATTTTCTTTAAGAACCCATTATCCCCCCACCCCCAACCTGTTATTCAAAGTGACATCATAGTCTGATCAACTGATGGGTGATTATTTTAAAGTATCCTTTCTTTTAAGCCCTATCTTTTTGTTCTTACCCCAGAGGGCAGCGCAAAGAATCTCAGAGTTGAACCTCTTCTTGTATTTGCGGATCTCTGGGGTGTCACTCTGAGGGCGGGTGTTGACCGGATTGACGTTGACCACGGAGCCCTTCCGGGATGGATCTGCTCTCAGTGCCTCTGCCAGCCGGGCATCGTTCCCATAGCCTAAAAGGTCAAAGGGAAGGGCTTAGGTAGGATGGCGTAGGATTGTAGAGTTTACCGGACGGGGTGAGGGTCAGTCACATGATCAGCATTAGAAAGCTGTGTAGTGAACTGTGATATTTAACAATGGAATATCAATATTGTGTGATTGATGTACATTTTATATTACTGTGAATAATTGGTCATGTTGTAAGTATGAAAGTTTGGAATGGGATACAGAAATATAAATATCAATGTAATGATTCCCACTACTGCTCCACTCAAACCAGTAAAAAAGGGAGCTGATGTGACGTTTAAAGACAACCATCCATCAGAGACTGTGAGATTATTAGAATAACAGAATAGTTCTCAGCTGCTGATTACACTGGGACAGAAAAACAAGCTGTGCAAGGTCAGAAGGCCTCTGCGGCCAATGCAAGAGTTTTTATGGTGTCTGTTGTGGATTACTCATTACCCGGCTCTCTTACATGCATTTGGTTCTAGATTCAGGCATCTGTAGGAAAACCTAACTGCCTCAAATCAGTGATTAAATGCTGACTGAACAATCTAGTATACTTAAGGGGGTCAATGGCTGGTCACCAGCTGCATCAGGTGAGGTAATGGCTTAAGATTTGGCCTTGACAATGAGAGAACAAGGCTGTAGTGATAAGAAAGCTTTGTTTGTTAATGGCGATAGCTAATGAACTCTATGACCTGAGTGAAACAGAGTCCAACTCTTTTTGTTTGTTAATGATAATGACATTTTCACGTGCTCAGCCTCTTTACTCCTTGAAAAGAAGAAGCTGTGTTTGTCAGAGCTTCTGTGTATCTGAGTGCAAGTTTGCAGCTGTGGACACTGGCGGCTAGTCAGACGAAGTCAAAACTGAAGCCGTGGGTTTAACCTAGAGGAACTGTTTTCAGAGAGCCATCACTGGGGGTGGCTTGGGGAAGAAAGTTGTGTCGAACTTGGTTGTTAATAATGATGAAGGATAATCATCAATTAAATCAACAAAGATAAACAACCAAAAGCTTCCTAACAATGATTTTTAGCACACTAAAATTCAAGTAAGATCTCTTTGTTTCACTTATGATTACTGAAAGAAGTGTGTTGGACAATATGAACCTCTTTTATGACTTTTGGAGGAGGAAATATGAGAAAAAGTCCCAGTCGTCAAGAAGATATAAATATTAATTAATTCCCATTGCAGCCATTTATATGTTCATACTACCGCTCACCTGGCCAAATGCTTATTCAGCATCCAGGGAAAAACCAGCACTTGAAAATGTTTATTGTAAACTACAATAACTCAGTTATATTATTTTAAACCAAGCCTTAATTTCTGAAGCCGATCTCCATGTATTAATCTCTTTAGTGTTGATTATAGTTGATTATGGTCAATCACACACCTACTGCCTCAAAGACCTCACCTCTAGGCAAAGTCGATTTTGCAAAGCTCCTCATTAGTAGATTTTTATCCTCTTTCAGTCCTTCTTCTTTTTCCAGTTCCTCTCATTAAGGGTCATTAAAGCAGATCATCTGCTCATCATCTCACCCTGTCCCTTTCATCATCCTCTGTCACACCAACCTTCTGCATGTTCTTCACTACATCTTTCTCTCTGATTTTTCTCTCCTGCTGGCAGATGCATCATTTCTCCGATATATCCACTCTCCCTCCTCTACATATCTCCAAACATCTCAGCCTTGCCTCCAAACTGCTCAACATGAGCTGTCCCTCTTTCATATTTAGTGTTTTGGATGAATTTCACTAAATTATTATTATATTTTTTACATTATTACCTTGATTCAGTTGTTTAATAACTGTAGTAATAGTTTACCAAAATTCATCCGAATGACTAAAATGTCCCAAACATTTGTAAACTGTCAGAAAAGTAAAGAAAACCAGCCGTCAGTCATCATATGAGTCAACTGTTTGAAAGCTCACAGACTCAAGTCCCAATCTGTACAGCTAAGGAATTTTTGCTATCATATTTTGAGACACCTGAACTCCACGTGTGAGCATGAGATCAGTGGTGCAGCTCAGTCAGGGAAGCACTCTGGGATTTCTCTTTGGATGTACTCAGAAGGGCTGTTCCCTCCTGAACGACAGTCAAACCTCAGAACTGCAGCTTCTATTCCAATTCAGTGACTTTGAGTTGTGAGTAAAAAGTTGGCTTGTGTCAGAATTGAAGTCATTGTGTTTGAGCTTTTCCAGAGTGACAACTTTTCCTCATAGTTTGTTCAAAGTTTGATTCAACAACCAGAAATGCTTTTTGGATTTGTCTTATGCCTGCGGTAAAACATCTAGTTAGGCTCTTCCCAGTGGGCTTAAGAAATAATTCTTTGACTTTGGAGCCTGCAGACCTTTATTGTGACCTTTATCCCCGTGTCGTCTCTCACGGAAGTGTTAATTTAACCTAAGTTGACAAAGTGACCTTACCGACATTGTTGAGGGCACTGCCGGTGGATGGAGAGACCTGGAGAAGTCGTGGGTCAATGAACGGAGTGAAGGAGGAAGAAGACTTGTGCTTCTGCATGTTGTTACTAGACTGGCTCTGCAAAGAAGGAGTTTTGTAAATGTTTAAGTGTTGTTTTTCAAAGACCATAAACATATGCAGATATTACGGACAAAGATAAATGGAAACACTTAACAACACAGTGAAAACACAGCCAGGCAAACTGAGGATTTTGGTATGTGTTGCATGCAAATACAGTGGACAGTCATTCAGGAGGTAAACTTATAAACAGTGAAACAGGCAAAAAGGATGATGAAGGCTAAAAAAATATGAATACTGCTGACAAAACAAATAAAAAACAATAACAACACAAAAGGGAAAAAAGTGCCGTTTAAAAAGTGTTTCCTTGGAAAACATACTTGCGGTTTCACTCCTAACTGCCATGTGTGCTACCATCTATTGTCTGGAGAATGTGAGAATATAGCTTGTTTGCTGAAAATAGGCAACATCAAGGCATAAAAATTGATTTAAATATTTTGAGGAATGCTTTTAAGACAAAAGACAACTCTGGCAAAAACAAAATAAAACAAAAAAACCCCAAAAACTGAGCTAACAGATCTGTTGCGATAATAAATATATCAAGGAGATATTCACAAAAATGCAAGCTTCCACCAACACCAGCATCTCTCTGTAGAGAGATGGTGTGTCAAAATCTGAAAAACTGAAAAAACAAACAAACAAAAAACCAGCACTCATCTTATTTATTTGAATGATTTTAGTTGTTTTGGGGAGTTATGGTGTTATAGATGGCAATAATTATAAAAGCTCCCTTTGACACTCCTGTGCAAGAAATGAATACCCTAAGCCAGTGTCTGCGTTGGGACTTGAAGACATACCTCTGTGAGGATGCCAAGCTTGTCCAAGGGACTCTGTGGGGACATGGACGAGGGACTGGCAAGGCTGGAAGAGGAAGGGGAGTTGGATGCAGAGGAGGAGGGGGAGGAATGGTGGCTCTGCTGGATCAAGTCTGGGAGATGGTGGATGCGACCAGCAAAGCCATTCCTGTCCGAATGCTGTATGGGGTGATGATGGTGATGATGGTGGTGGTGGTGGGGGCTGGGGGTGTGGTGAGCGAGGCCCTGGAGCGACACCGAGCCGGGGCTCGGGGCAAAGCCTGCATGCATGCCAGGTGTCTGCGTTTGGCCTGGGCCAGGGCCCGTACGCTTTCTGTTGTCACCTGCACTCTGGAAGTAGAAAGAGGGGTACACAGCTTTGGGTCTAGATGTGTTCCTGATGAGTTCAGGGGAAGGGAAGGTATTAGCTAGAACAAAGGGTATACTAGAGCGGCTATTCTACAGGCGGAAAGAAAACTCTTGTTAGCAGTTGATTACATGGTAAGATAATACTTTCGTAATGCCCCAAAATTACTTAAACTGATCTTTTGTAGTGTGCATTGGTCCTAAATGTATGTGAAGATGACCTACGTACCTGATTCTTTTTCTGTCACCTGATCAAATGGCTTTTTAAAAGTTAAATGTCTGAAATTGTTCAACACTTCTCTGTATGCATTATTAAACTCTGTCAGCCTTTTATGCTTCATTTCTTAACACTGAGTTGCTATCCACTGGCCAAAAAGTAAGAACATGACCAACGAAACATACAAACAAAATGGATAAACGGTCGGGGTATGAACAAACAAAATGTACAAATAAAGGGAAAGCTAAAAAGTACGAGGTGAACGATTGGTTGTCCTTTTTCCGATCTCCCAGTACCTGTCTGACAATCAGCGTGCTGTCTTTGCATGGCGTTGTGCCCGCGTCACTCTCGCCCTCTTCGTGGACGATCATGGTTTTCACAGACTCCGTTTCTCCGTTACTCAGCCGAGAAGAACTGCAGGTGAGGGGAGGAGAAGTTCAACACAAACACATCATGTTTGGGCTCCAATATGGTTTTACACACCCGTGCAAGCCATGAGAAAAAGCAGCTTTATAAAAGACAGACACGGCACTCAAAGGCACTCTGCAGAGCCGAAGGTGATGGTTGCCCCGGACTTTACCCAACGAGCCAACAAACAGCTTGCCTGACAACAAATTAGCCAAATGTCCTCTGCACATAGGCTCAAAGCAGTCTCTACTGTGCTCTAGGAGGCTTTCTACATCTCGCTGTAATACAGGTGTAGGTGAATGTGCTGTCTACACCCATAATATGACTAAGTGCGACATTAGTTTAAGTCCTGTGGCAAGTGCATGTTGATCATCTCGGGAATCAGAATCAGAATACTTTATTAATCCCAGAGGAAATTATGTGGTCACAGTTGCTCCAGAACAGTAAGAACAATAACTAAATGAAATGAAATAATCCAGTATATTACAAAATGTAACAGAATATTAAAAAATAGCTCCAATTATAAATATCCCAGTATATCACACAAATTAAATACATACAGTTAAAACTGAGGTGATCTTCTTATCAATACATTTGTTGTTTTCTTTGTAGAGGATATGATATTAAGAGTGTGCAACTACTCCAGTGTGTACTTGTGCTTTAGATAGTATCTGGACTTAAAGCTTAAATGTTTAATAGTAGTACAGCATTTGATTAAAGAAAATAAAATGTGATTTGACTGGTGACTGCAGACTTTCTGCTTTGTTTTATGCACACAAGGCTCCTCCTTATTTAGACAGGGCTGGTCCTGTCAGCCTGCAGGCATTACCAAGACGACTGCAGTCTGGCTTAACTTGCCTAAAAAGGCTTTCAGATAAATCAAAATGCATCTCTGCTAAGCAGGAGCATAATCTCATCCATTAACCCGAACCGATGAATTCTGCTCTGAAAGTGTAAAGCCTGCAGGAACGTTGTGTACATACACAGCTCTGGAGTCCTCCGGGCCAGAGGTCGACTCTTCACCTGCCTCCTGATCCACCTCTTCATCGTCATCTTCGTCAGTGGTGTCCGAGTCTTCACTGGAGGATGAAGGGTAATCTGTCACCTTATTTGGGGGGCGAACATCATCCACGGCACGCAGTTCTTTGGCCAGAGCCGTCAGGTCCTAGAAGCCGAGACATAAAAAGTGAACCGTGTTTTAATGTGTTTAGTCATTCTTGCTCTGCTGGTGTATTGTCCGTTCTTCATCACTGCATATTACATGCAAATAGCAAGGGGCACTACGTAAGATTTGCTGTTAATCTTGCTTAAGAAACGCAGGAAAGAGAAAGCTGCTGGAGAAGAAGAATGGTTATAGATGTGCGCCAGCCAATGAGAAACCAACGGAAGAGCAAAGCCAAAAGATAAAAGAGAAAAAAGAGATGACTCCAGAGCAGTACAGCTGGTGCTCCTCAAGCTACAGTAGGTAAGGTTAGTGGATTAATTCTAATAATGAAACAGTTGTTAGAGCTGCAAAGATGAAAAATTAAACCAGCTCAGAAAAAATAGTTAATTTATTAAGTTAAGAGAAGCCATGAGTTAAAAAGACCACCGCTGAGGAAGAGACCGCTGAGAAGAGAATGCGAATAATACGTGCAGTAGACCCCGTCAGCCAATAAGCTCAATCCAAAGATAAAACAAGCACTTCTTAGCCTGAGCAGACCAGTCCGTTTATTTTCATTCATATACCCACACACAAAAAAGACTCAAGCAGCAAGATCCCTGTCACAATTTGTTAATAATCACACTCTCCATCTATCTAACAGCAACTAACTGGACGCAACACGTAACAGTCACCACGCACACAGAGTTTAACTAAACCCATCCCGCCTAGTGAGCTACTGGCTAGTCAGCTCCGGGCCCACTCTCACCGCTGATCTGTTCGGCCTGAGCACGTCCCTCCTCTCCTCTGGTTTTTTCCCAGCATTCTCTGGCCGCTGGAGGGGTGAACCCTCCGATTTAGAAGAGGCTAAAGGAGGTGGAGGTGATAAGGTCAGCATGTTGGAAAATGTTGGAATAAAATCTACACGTTTAACTAATGTTGTTAGCGATTTCACCTACATGTTATTACACACTTTAGCACAGCTATTTTTTGAGGTGATTTTTTAGTTATATTGTCCACCTCCTGCATGTTTCTAATTGCTGACTTGGTTAACGTATGTGTGAACTCACAGCGGGCCCTGAACCTCTCTCCTGAGCCACAGTGAGAACCGGGCTGAGAGCTGGAGTTACTGGAGCTGCTAGAGGAACTGGAGCCTCCGCTGCCAGTATTACTGGTCGTTCTGGGAACCAGTTTCTCCACTCGTTCCCACAGCAGCCGAGGCTCCGCTGCACTGCAGAGGCAACAGAGTCAAGAGAGTCAGGTAAACTATCATAGATACAGAAACTTTTAAACAGCAAATTAAAATGTTATAAATAGAGCACAGCTAATTTAACTTCTTAAATTCGCTAATTATTACTGACATGTTATTGGATTATAGTTAAAGTTCTTAATGAGCAGTGTAAAAACGCTAAACACTTGAAATGACAGAAAGCCAAGAGTTTTAGATATTAAAAACAGCACTACAGGGTAAAGAGGAAGGAAGAGAGATGGCACTCCATGAAAAGGTTTGTGGTTTGGAAATAAAGAGAGACACACATTTACACACAACTATAGAAGTAGAGACAACAAGGTTAGACAGCTAGAACTATTACATAAAGCCTCCCACACAACTCCGCAGACTGGGACTGCAACAGCACAGACAGTGAAGACGCTGAATTAATTTGTCAGATCCATCACTAAATGAAGTGTTTTTGCACAGCCTTTGTGAAAGTCTTTTCTTTCTGGATGTCTTTGTAATTGCAGAGTTGAAAACAGGAGACTGGATTCAACGTGCTCTGAAGCACGTTGAATCCAGTCTCCTGCTTAAGACACTGGTGGAGTGCCACAGGGTACTATTCTGGGCCCAGTTCCTGTCGTTTAACGAATTATATTTTTGTTATTTCAAAGATGACTCACGTGTCATACTACACAGATGCTTTTTAAAAATAGCAAGCTTGGCTTTTCTTTTCTAAATATCACATATCTAGAATGTCAGCCATATCGTTTAAAGGGCACGTTTCCAAATTTTGGAAATGAAAAAAAAAACAAACAAAGACTGCAAGAAGAAGAATGCAGTAGTAAAGCAAAGAAAGGAAACAAATTCACACAACACAGGTTACGAAAGTTTACCTGGCAGCATTGTGTTGTGCTGCGTGGCTGCTGTGTACGGCGTTGCCAAGGTGATGAGGCGAATCTCGCCTCGGCAACACTGGGGACCTTGATGTAGTCCTGACAGGAACCTTTTCATGATAAAAACAGTAACCAGCTTACAAATACACACATTTTAGGCATGGATGTGCTGCCATGTGCCGTGAATATGCAAATCACATATTTTTAAACTTCACCTCACATGAGTGTGTCACCATTTTAATCCACTGGAAAACTTCAGAACTAGTAGCTATACCACAACATGTCAGGATGACTAAGATAAACATATTATTTGGCTGGACTAATCGTCAGACTGGATTCCCAAATAGAAACAATAAAATGGTATAAAACTTCTAGTTTTGAATCCCTCGATGTTGCCCAGCGTCAGATTGTTTGCTTAATTACTGCACCGATTATTGTCAATTACATTTTCACAATTACTAGCTGTTAGATTCTGCAAGCATTGAATAAATCTTATTAAAAGATTCATAACCTTTACTGATTTTGTAGAGATACCTTACACTCAGTGATATAAAAGTACAGATTGTGTGTAATTAATTCAGGCCCAGAGATGAAAGCTCCAGTCAGTCAATTTAAAGTCTGACTTGGCAGTAAAATTACACCCAAAGCTTAAAAAATATCCAACAAGTAATAATTGTCACATATTAGAAGGATATCAGAATTATCAGGGGGAAGGTGTGAGTAACTGAAGTGTTTTAGTATTCATGAGTTCAGCAAGCATAAAACAAAAGTGTTAAAATAACAAGTAGCAGCTTTGGAAGCCAGACAGTTGGTACAAATCTTGTAACGAGCTTAAATGTTGTTCTGGTACTGTCAGGATAAGTAATCTTATTATCTTTAATGTAAGGGGGAGTAGACTGCCTTCTAATAGAATACACAATAACTGTGTTCACATCAGACTAAGTTAAACAGCTGGGTTTGTTTAAACAACGCACCAACAAGCTCACATTTCAGGTTGGTGATGACGTGACTGAAACAAAAACACAGGATCTATGCGTACTGCATCTCTGCTGCTTATGAGCTGCGCATCTCTGACGTGACTGCCTGTTGTGTTCTTACAGTATCTAACTTGAAATGTATAAATGTACGTACGCCAACTAAAGCCTTCATCGTAGTCACAGGTCACGCATGTGAGGCACATTTTCCCCTAAATCAGTCACATGTAAATTCAGTGAAGCCAACGCAGAGCAGAGCAACACAGCCATGCACAACAGAACCTTCAGCCATTTATTTATTTAAGAGTTTAAGTTAGGGACAACATGGGAACAGTATGAGCTGATGTTACTGATTGGTCAATCTTTTCTCAGTAGCATTTTCCTCTATTTTAAGGCTGAACCTGCTTGTGAGGTCCACCATTGTTTACTTGAAGCTTTCCCATTGTGTTGCATTGACAGGGTGGATTCTCTTAGGAAACGACTGTCTTCTTATGCTTACATTCCTCATCTTGTTATTTTTATGTTTTTTTGCAGTGGTGCAGCAAAAGTCTAAATTAGTGTGGTGAGGGAAGAAAAAAGCAGCATCAGGCAGGCTGTCTCGACTCGTCCTATAAGTGGAACAGTCGAGTTATAGAAAGGTCACGGATTGAATGTTGTGATGCATTTTAACTAACAGCTATTTTTGCATGAACAAGAAATTTCACCACTCAGTAACTTCCTCTTTTGTCAGATATTGTGTGCAAAAATTGGACTAAAATGCCCTGCAATATCCGATTTCCTCACATACAGTGGATATCGTGTTTCTTGGTCTCCATACAAGGAAAAAAAATAACAGCTGTTTAAATTCTGATATTGTATAAAAAAAATGGTGGGAAATAATTACAGAAGACTGTCTTATTCAACTAATGCTACCACACTGGGCTTCTTTCTTCTAGTCCTTACCCTCGGTGGGACCTCCGCTGAAGGGGCTGGTTCATGGGGCCTAGGCTGAGGATGGGGGTGTGGGTCAGTGCGAGCAGGCGTTGATGATGAGCATGATAGTGGTGATGATGATGATGGAAGGTGATGGCGGGATTCGTGGCTGTTTTGAAGGTGGAGATTTTCAAAGCTAGGGGTAAGCGGCTCTGTGAAGGAGTGGGATCGCAACACAACAGGCGGAGTGGCAGTGGAGTTTGATGAGGCCACGCTGCTGCTGCTCTTTAAAGCAGCCAGATGAGAACGAACCTTGCGGACGACACAAAACAGAACACAATGGGGGAGCGCAGGTCAGTCTGCATGCAGGGTATTCAGACAAGGAACAAGCTCAGGGACTGTAGGGTATCTTAAGGGGTTTGTCACATTTGAGCTAATGTTAGTAACACTAACATTAGACTTCTCAAGTGTGGAAATCAGGGCGATGCAGGTCCTACTGGTTATTGTAAGGTTATTTTGGGTCATTCATAATTAGATGTGGAACAGTGAGAGGGATCTTACAGCACAAAAGGATCCAGCAATGAGCAGAAAGTAAAAACAACAAAGAAAAGCTGCGATGACTTAACAGAATGACACATCCATACACTGCAGCTGTCATTTAGCTCCTATTTGCTGCCAGGCTTCAGCTGAAGAGCTCTTCTGCACATTCAGTTGGTAAAGATGTAAATGAGAGGATATAATTACATTATAGATTTATTATAATGCTCTTAAAGTAGATGGAAGATGACATATATTTAACCTTTTGCTGCTACAGTATTCACTTTTTCCAGTGGCATTAAGTTCAATCAGGGATTCTAGATGGAAACGTTCTTTCAGCTCAGATGCAAGGATTTTCAGTCTTGGTCATTTGTGCACAGAGCATTTATGATTTATAATAACACACAGTGTCAGATATCTGATGTGGCGAGTTGATCTGACAACTTGGCAGAAGCCAACACGATGTTAACAACCACTGCTCTGAAATATTAGATCGTTTTAACGCCACAGAAGCTGATTTCAGTTAGAGATCGACACAGCTTGTCTGTAAAATCAAAGAAGAGCTGTAGACATTTTAAAGGCAAAGACTCAAATCTTTGCAAATCCCCTTAAGAACCCAAGAGTGCAACAGGAGGGGAGAAGGAGCACTCGTGAAATAGACATATCTGCACGTCATACCTGTTATCACTTGGGCCACCCTTTTTTTGGAGAGCAGAAATTTCACTGTAAAAGCTTTTAACTTAAAAAAAAAAGGGTAGCCTGGATAAATCAGGGAAAGACACAAAATATAAAAGAAGACATAATTCACAGGGAATGGAGAGATTAAGCTGAATTGATCCAGGAAAAAAAATATTGAGTCATGCTTTTACTGGCTTGGCTTTTAGTCAGCTTTTTTTTGGGACATTTTAGTCCTTTTGATATACTGCACGGTCCTTTTAGATCACCTTCAAAAATTATCTGGAGATGAATAAGGAGTAAAAACAGGCTGACATGCAAACAAGCGTGCCGACAGAACCACAACGGTCCACGCAGCATGCACACATTCATGGCTGGGAGTGGAGGAAAACATGTGACTTTGATAGTGGGCACTGCACATCCTGCCTTTCACCTTATTCATAATCACCATCTTAACCTTAACTAGTTTTTGTTTCCATATTTGACAGCAGTGAGATTTCTTTAGGAAGGCAGCTAATAAAAATACCTCACGTTGGTCCTTAGGCATCATGATATGAGACCTTTGTGTGGTGAATACTCTATAGGCTCTCTGTTAATGAGAGTAATCTACTTTTAACATTATGGGTTAATAACGCTCTAGTGAATTACATCGTCACACCCGCGGCCAACACAACCCCCATCCTACTGAATAACAGCATCATTTCTATATAATGTAATCTGTGTGACATATCCAAAACAGATTGACTTATATGAACTGTGATTATTCATGCTTCGTGTGCTCAATCCTTCACTGGGAAAATGACTAATACTGCCTGAGTCACCCTGCAAAATTTGGATGCCCATGAATTATGAATGTTTTAATCACCAACACACAATAAGGAGTTACAGCATGTAGAGCAGAGATGTTCAAACCCCCCATTACAGCATCAGGCAAATCCCATAAACACACACATTTGCACACCTTGTGGTAAACACACATCTGGTGAAAGGGCTTTTGTTTGCATTTACATATTGGGAGGACAACTTGTCAGTCCAAGAGTTAATTATGGCAGAAGGTTGGACTTGGTTGATTTTCATTACCACAGGGAAGCTGGGTGAAAAAGGGGAGATTTCTTTTCAAATCAGTCAAGAGTTTTATGCTGTTCCACATTTTAACTGGTTAAAACGAGGGAAATGAAATTGAGGTAATAACAAGCCCGAGGCTGAAAAGAGTCATGAGAAGTTCAGCAGCAGCACACAGTTGGATACATTATTCAGATGAAACGACCTCAAAGCTAAAGATACAATCCATGAAGGCAGAGAAAAAAAGCAGAACAACTCCTAAACTGAGAAACAATAAATCTTCCAAAGTGCAAAGATTTCAGTTTTCCTCGAGTCACCTGAAGGAGAAACCTAATGAATTATTATCAGGGGAAAAAAATCACAGATAACATCTTGAAGCAATGTTCAGGTTATTAAGAAGGTAAATGGACTTTTCGAATAAACCAGTATTTTGTGAAAAATGAGCTTTTCAAAGCATACATGCAAGGGTCTATAACACATTTCAGCATCATAAATCAACTCAAAGTTGGCAAGGCAATTCGGCAATATAAGGCTGACAGCATACTCTTAACCAGGGGTGTCGAACGCATGGCCAGAGGGTCAGAACTAGCTCTCCAAAGGGTGAGTTTCAACTTATTAATTCATTATTAATTTTACAGCCTTCTTACAGACAAAGATGTTAACTATAGGTTACAATACCACAGTGACATAAGGTGGTTAAGCTTTGGCTCTTTGATTTATGACAGTAATGTTTCATTTTAGTGACAGTGAACTGACTTTGCTTATCATGCCCACTGCAGATCACGTCCGGTACACTGTGGCCCAGGAACGAATAACTCTCGCCCTAATTTGGCTTGTTCACATAACTGAATGACAGGTTAGCAGCCATAAAGTCCTCAGGCATGCTCAGCCCGACCAAGCTCCACTATTACTACTTCCATGTAGAAAAAGGGAAGTTGATATTACAATCAGATCTTGTGTCATGCAAACAATATGAAACTGTCAAATACATGAATCTCTCTCTCATAATCTCATAACCCCATCCACTGCTCAATATGCTGCAACACCCTTTAAGATGTAAATCACCAGTGGACTGTTCCTAGTCCAGTGATCCAGTGGACACCAACTCACAGCTGTAAATGTAAAAGCAGAATAGTTTAAGAGAAGAAGAAATGGTTTGAAGTCACTCTTACCTGTGGTTCCACAGGCCGGTGCATGGCCTCAGAAGCAGAGTTCCCATTGGGGTATGAAGACTCAGATCGCGGCGGCACCGGAGGCTGCTGTGGTTTGGTCTGAGCCGCCTGGGGAGAACCCTGGACGTTCTTCCGATATCGCTCGTCAGCCTAAGAAGGACACGTGCAAACAGCAGCATTAGCAGCAAGTTGAGAATACAGGTGGGTACAGGTCAGTACACGAAGAGGAGAAAAGACAGAAGCCATCAGCCGCTATGGTTTGTTAGTTTCTTCCAACAGAGAAGAGGTGATTTGTTCTGGCAGTAGTTCAAGCACATCAGAAAGTTATCTGCTGATACAGGCACACCAGCAGGGACAACAAAGCACCTCCTCAAAGGCAGCAGTGTTATTGGCACCGCAGTGTTCCCACATCCCTACGAGAAGGACAGCAATTCCATGACCAGCAAGAGTGTCATGCATTTTCATGTGGAGAGAAGACATTCACAAAGGAAAGGTTAGGTCACACACTGAGGTCCAGGACACGGTTCACCATAGAAAGTCAGATTTTGAAATGTTGTTTTGGTTGTTCTTCAAAATGGATATTTGGATATCTTTTCCATTTGTGTTTTTTTTTCTTCATGTTGCCACTTTATCAGAAACTTTGTGATTACAGTGTTATCATTACGACAAATATGATGGCTGAACTATCAAAAGATGACTATCCTGTTTGTTCCACCAGTGTTAGGGCTTCTGAACTGTTTTGGCCAATGATGTGCTTTTATTTGGCGAGCGTCTCTGTCATTATCCTTCCCAATAGGCACTAAAAAGGATACCAAATGCCATAAAGAAGAAAGAGACTGTAAGTCACGCTGAGCACTAATGAGGTGGCTCGTTTTTATTAATGTGGGGACAAGGACTACCATGAGGATAATTAGAGACCAGTTGTGTCCTTCTTTAGAGGGAGGAGCTGTTCAAGTGAGCATTTCACTGCAAACTCACGAGAAAAAGCTCAAATGACATCTGCTCATACACTGTAAACAGAACGCTGACATAGCCACCATGACACCAACGTTTGGACTTCTGCTTTGAAGGCCAGATTGTCACTTTCAATATCGATGTCTTGTGTTTTTGAAACTAGATGATAGGAGCATGGGGGTGGATCTGACTGAGAAACCAGGGATTTTAAGTTGTACCCTGATTTATCATCTGCTGTACTTGAAATGGGGCTATAATTTGCAAAGGAAGCATCAAGATTTATTTAATAAAATGTGAACTTGGCAATCGAGACCCTAAAAAACTGATTACTAAGCTCATGCATAAAAGGAGAAGTAGGTTCATTTTCTCACTGGCTTCTGTACAATCTTACTTATCTTGCAACCAGAGGAGTTGACCTCTGTTGGCCATTAGAAAGAATGCACCTTTAAGGCACTTCAACATTGGCAGCCCTTTTCAGACTCAGAGGCTGTATTTTTTATTCTATGTTTCAGGAAGTCTGAAGGAATCCTCGAAGTGAACATGAATGTGCTGCATCTAGATATTAGTTTGTTGGTATTTGGTATAATAATTTCTTTAGTTTCTCAACTTTTTTCCTATGAGGATTTCACAAGTATTGGAAATTAGCAGTACTATAAACTCTACGTGCAGCACATCAGTTTCATGCTCCATATTGGACTTACGTTACACATTATTCTCCCTTTTGTTTCTGTTTCTCTCTCAGTTAGCCCTGTTCCTGCTACAGCTGTCTCTGGAGGAGCTGATGCTTCTCCAAAGTCAGCTTGAAAAGATCTATAACATCACTTGCTTTAAAGATTGGTCTCAAGTTGAGTTCAATTTATTAGAACTTCATATTTAAGTTCACCTAAATAGATAAAATAACTGCTGTTGGTCCTGTAACACAGGCATGTATGTGCGTCATGGACCTGTTTAATTATTAGACATGTGAGTTTAGAAACAGTCTAGCTACAGAGCTCGTCTACAAAGCCATTCACCCCACACCATCAGCTCACCGTCACCATCTACACACGATACACTAAAGACGGCAGGAGTGAGTATACACAAGCAAAGGAAGCATTTTAAAAGCAGTCACTGTGACTGAGCAGCTAACGAGGTTCACCTCTCTGACTGGCTCAGAGTCAGGGGCGGGGCCTTGAAGGTCAGCCACTGGTAGCCTGCTTTCTGTAGTTTTTTCCAGACTGGAGGCTGGACTGGGCCGTGTCTTCTCACTGTCAGTGTTCTGTGGTTGTTTTGTTGTTTCCTGCTCAGGGGCTTGCAGAGGCTTTACCCTGTCAGGTTCAGGGTTCTGTGGGGGTTTGGGGGTCTGTTGCTGGGCTGTTTTGCTACTGTCCAAGTTCTGGTTTTGCTGAAGCGACAGCAGGTAGGCCTGCTCCTGCTGCAGCTGTCTCTGGAGTTTCTGAGCTTGCCGCTGCTCCTCAAGCTCCCGCCATTTGTACTCCTGAGTACAGGGAGGGTCAAGTTGAACCAAAACCGCTAGCACACATAGGCTGGTCGACACTTACTATGTCCAAAAAAGTCCTTTTTGATACTTTAAGGGATTAAGAATCCATTTAGATGACCCCATACAGTTACACCAACCATCAGTTTGGAGTCACATGCCAGCAGTGACTGTAGGAATACGACTGTATGAAAACTATTGTGTAGAAGCTAGCATCAGAGATGGAGAGAGCACTTTGTTTTGAAAGGCTCTTGGTGGTAATGGCATTATAATATTGCAAGGCTTTTAACTAATTTCTTACTTTTATTACATATTATTTATCCTTATATATAAGGATATATTTATATTTAATATATATCCTGTAACTGTGAGCAATGACATCACAGCTGTTAACAAACACGGCACACATAGCTTTATATTCTAGTTTCTATAAGGCTGAGTGTCTCAGGTCCTAAAAATGTTAAATGCACCCTTTATGACTGAAACACTGCTAATTCAACTCACAGTGTGATTTGACTGTGTATAAATGTGCTCTGTTAAAACATTGAGTTTCAGGCCAAGTCAGGCTTTAGTGGAGAATTTAAATGGGAGGAGACTAAAAAACAAACGAAAACAAAACAAAACCAAACAAAAAAACTAAACCATCTGATGGATACTGGTGGGGGAAAAAATGTCCAACTGCACGCCTGTTAGACCGCTGTGGTGAAAAGCAATTAAACCAGTGAAGCATTAATACAGTTTTATGCAGTGGGACAGTTGTGCCCATCGCCAGAGGCTCCATCTAATTATAGGTTGTTAATTCAAACATGTAACATTCATCCCTATAATACAGCTCAAAGTAAAATGTTTCACAGTTTAAATAGAAGTCAGCTTGTTTTTTGCATGAGTTTATGAATGGTGACTATGCAGGAACCACATGGTCAGAGATTAAGTAATGGTTGAAACTGGAAGTGAGGATGTTAACGGTCATATCCTTTTATTATGTGAATATCCGCTCCAAACCCCAAAAGGAACAGAATCCTTTAAAAAGAAAAAGAAAATAACAACATGGTTTGAGTATCAGTATCGCCTCCCCTGACCCTTTAACATCTGGAAGAGGGGAAGCCCTCTCTTTCCGTGGGATGACTAGTTTCCTGCTGATGACATCACCTTCACTGAGAGGCTCGTAAACATCCTGATTTCCCCGGCAAAATCTGAGAACGCTCATTATACTCTGACCTCAACCGTTAACGGCTCCCCTCGGCTTCACTAAAGTCAAAAGTTATTTCTAAAAACTTGATGAAGTTTAGCACAGAAGGCAAATGGACTCAGGAAAACTCATGTAATGGAGGAATAAAGTACCTGCGTTAGAAAATTTAACAACCTGGGAGCTGCAGAAACATTAAAATCACTTAGGGCATGAAAGCAGAAACAGCATTAAGCTCATTTAGATTTTTTTTTAAATGATAAAAGGGGGAAAAATGAAGTTGAATGTGACTCACCAGAAGCATGGCCTGTTCATGGAGGAGCTGCTGTTGCAGGATCTCCAGGTGCCTCTGCTCCTCCTCCAGCTGTCGACGTATATACTCCTGTCAGTCAGAGTCCACAGCCATTAGTTAAATATCAGAAAGGTAGGTTTAAAAGTTCATCCAAATTAATCCAAATCCTAATTAAAGTTGATAAAAACAAATCTTTCAGTGTCTTGCCCAGTCGATTCCCTCCTACCTGCTCGCGGTCGGCCCTCCTCTTTTCCTCCTCGGCCCTCCTGCGCTCCTCCTCTTCTTTGCGGCGTCGTTCCATCTCTTCGATGCGCCTCTTCTCCTCCTGCTCGCGCCGGCGCTGCTCACGCTCCTGCTGCCTCCTCATCTCGCGCTCACGTCGTTGTTGCTGGAGGAGTTAAAAAAAGAAAAAAGAAACTGCTCATCGTCCTAGTTCTGATTTTTGTCAAGTCATACGAGACACTGACCTCGTGTTTCCTAATCAGTGCTGAACTAGAATCTGCATGACTGGCACAATATTAATATTTTAATTTGACCTGGATTGGTAAGAGAAGCAACGTGAGACCGCAAAGTGTGCGACTCACACGAAACGGTTAAAACCCTGTTCAAACATTCAGCACACTGCTGTATAGCGCACATGGTTATTGCTCTGAATTTTCCTCCATAACGATAACTGCCTTTGGTGCCACTCGAAGCCGCTCTAAAAGTGTATGAAAGTGGTTCTTTGCCACACTCAACCTCAAACACTCCTATGCTAAAAGGCCCAACATTACAGCATCATTTGGCTTAATCTAAGGCAAATCAATGAGTTACTGGATAATCTTCATGTTTTAGGTAAAGTCTGCGGTGTCACTGTGATGGGACTCCAGAAGTGTCTCTGCTTCATCACACCAAGGAGATACATAGTGAAGGCTGCTTATAGAAGTTACACCTTCAAAGCAAAACAATCAAGAGGCTCAAGAGAATCAATTTTCAATCATTTTCTGAGTTCAGCTATGTTAAGATTTCTCTATCACACAGATATAAAAAGATAAAACCATGAATTTCACAGAAGAGCAATCTGAAACTTTTTAGAGGCCATCAAGGATGAATTTTAACCCTGCAGGGGTCAAAACAGGATGAGTTATAGATTAATTTGGAATGCACTACGTTGCAGGTCATCTCTTTAATTATTTTATTCACGGCTGTCAAGGATTTACACAGCTCTACCAGTGTGGCTCAGAGTTCGTTTTAACAGCGATCCAAATTGTGTTGTTTTTGTTTTTTGTTTGTTTTTTTTATTTGGGGGTTTTGGGGACCTTTTAAACTCAGTTTGCAAGTATTTTTGAACAGATAGACATCAGTATAGGTTGTGGCAAAAATGTCTTATTGATGTGAGCAGAGAAAACATAAATACTACGGAGGTGTATGAGCTGGACAGACAAGTAAAAAGACGATAACATGTCAACATTTCAAGGACTGCATTAACACTGGATATCTTAATCAGTGTGAAAGTTCAGGCCTGACAGGCAGCGTGTTTTTGTTTAAGCTTGGCTCTCTAAGCAGACACATGAAGAAATTACACTGATTTCTGTCTGTGAGCGAGTTGTGACAGGGTGCGGTGAACGCTGCGGGACTGCAGGTCACGGATTGCGTACGATGACGCATCGTGTTTGCACAGATTCTGTGCTCAGCATTCAAGCTTCCAAACGTGGGGATCTATCAGAACAGGAGAGCACATGTACGCCGATATTTCAGTGACGTGGCCGGCGTTCAACTGTGGCTTCTCGCTGTCTGATTCATCCACAAGCACCGTCATGAATCAAAAACGGAGCCTTGAGCTGTAAGTGCAGTGGGAAAACACAAGCAGAAATACAACTTTGTTCTCTCTCTCTTCCCACAGAGGCCTTACACTTGTGCAGTGCATTTATATGTGCTCAGTGAATTTTTGAGCGTGTTTAAATTTGCTTTTTTTGGGTGAGTGGGGGTGGGTTGTTTCCCCAGTCCCTCTTTTAATATTTAGAGCTGTCTCTTCTCTTTTTCCTCCAGAGAATTTAGTTCAGTCGTGTCCAAATTTATAATCATCTATTTGAAGCTTTTTTCCTCCCTGCACTTCCTTTACTCCTCTCTGGTGTTACTGAACTTTTTTCTCTCTCTTCTTAAGAACAGAGGATGAAGCCAGGTTCAGAAAAGTGATTATAGCTTAAAGAGATAATAGGACAATTACAGCAAAGGTGTTCAAATTCACTCTCTGGGGAAACCAATTAACTTTTTTCCCACTCTAGTCAAAAATTGATTTTGGAACATTATATGAAATTATCAAGTACAAAATCTAACTGCTATCCCCCCGAGTAAAACAACTTTAATCTCACCAACATAATGTACACACATATTAACTGCAGCAGACAAACTGGCTAACCCCCCAGGGTTCACTGCCCAAACAAGACGAGCTGAAATCAAAGGAACAAGGACTTTTCTACTTAGTCATTCTAACTTTCTGCTGAATTTGTCGCTTTGAAAAAACAGCAAAGTGTTACTGATTCAGATCTGTTGAATTTTATGTTTTTTAATTTATAATTCAAAGCCCAAGAAGGACCAACAGTCAGTTCCAAATTTAAAATGACACGAATCAAAGCCGAGAAGATCACTCAGTTAGCAGTTCTGATTGCAAAAGTCTTGTTATGACAAGTCAAATTACTTTTATAATAAACCACAAGTGTCAGAGGCGATGTGTGACAAGTATAGAGTGAAAGGGAAGATTTACAAGAGAGAAGTGGGATCTGCTACGATGGATGGTTTTGGAGGTGGTGGCACTAACAAACATACAGCAGGTGAAGCTTAATGTGGCAGAGTTGAAGATGTAAAGATTTGCATTATGAGTGAAAGTGACAATATCAGCTTAGGTTCAAGAAGTTTAGAGGCAAAGTTAAAGAGGAAAGGCTGAGGCGGTCTGGGCATGTGAAGGAGGAGGATAGAGGATAATGGAGGAAAAGGAGAAAAAACCCACAGAGGTGGTTTACAGATGTAGTGAAGGTGGACAAGCAGAGGGTTGTGTGGCTGAGGATGAGGATGTAGCGTCCTCTAATGGGAGTAGTCAAAAGAAGAAGAAGAAGTAGTATACATGTGAGCAGTACTTTGGATATTGTTGCCATGATAAGATCTAAGACTGATCTTTTGATTTTTTTATGATGTCAAAATAAATCAAGATTTACTGGAGAAGCAGATGAAGTCAAATAGGTTAGAAATGTCCTTTTCTTGGGCCTGAGAGTCCAGAGTCATGTTATACATCCATAATCTAAATAATATATTTAGCATAATAAATATATTAAGTTTCCCTGCATCCAACGAGCCGCATCAGTTTCTTAGTATTTTAAACAAACATATAGAAGGTAACACTTAAGATAACTTCAGAAAACATCAAAATTTACTGAAAACCCTTCAGTTTTGTAAAAACAGTGATGCCATTCATTTTCATGGGAGAACCTCTCTGTGTACAAAACTTCATAAATAATTCAAATCTTTCCCTGCAACAGGGTTATTTTTAGTCCTATTGAAACTTCCAGGGTAAATGCTTAATTAATAATAAATAACTCATATTTTAAATATGGTTTTTGTTTAGGCAAATTTACATCCCTCATTTTCTTTTTCGTTTTTTTCTCACAGATTTTGCCAACATTTTTCTGACTCTGTGACACAGTGTGGTCAGGCCCGAACTTTCAGCCTTAAGAGTCACTCAAATACACGACTCACATTAAACTGAACCTCCTGTGCAGTGGTCGCAAACAGGCAAGTTAGCTATGGAGACATTTTGGTAGTAAATATACTGACTTCTGCTGTTGAGCTGGGCATTTTAACATCTATGATTTGTTAGGTTGTCCTGCTGGATTCTGTTCTGGTGATATCACCACTTTAGATCCAGTTACACTGGATTATTACATTACAGGAACACAACAGTCAAACAGCAGTCTATCGCCTCTTCTAAACACACAGTCTTACCACAGCACTGTGTCTACTCGATTAACATAGAAATCCTATTAATTTGTTATGAGGTTTCAACCTCCTCCAGCCGTCTCCGCTGCTCCTTCTGCTGCTCGATACGTTTCTGCCTCTCAGCCAGCAGCTGGCGCTTGTACTCCTCCTGCTCACGGAGCTGCTGCTCCTGGAGGAGCTGTTGGCGGCGAAGGGCCTCCGAACGCTCCTTGTTCTCCTGCTGCAGACGTATGAAGTCACGACGCAGGGTCGACTCGCCCGGCACGTTGACTATGGAACTGTACAGATGACCCGATGAGAAGGATGTAGAAACTGACCCGTATGACATCATAAAATACTTTTCATATCAAGGGTGTAATCATGTGACCTTGTGCTACACAAGTACTGAGGCTGTAGCGTGCATATGTATGTGTCTAAATATAAAGGAATCACTAAGATGACTTCAAAAACATGGTCAGAATTCACTTTATGATGTTTAGCTTATAGTAAAAAGCTAAAACTATGTACTGTAACTATGTATTGTTAGATGGATCGATACCTTGGCTCTCCTTCTTGCTCAGATGACTCTTCCTCCTCTTCTTCACTGCCACTGTATTCATACTCTGTCTCATCTGCAGATAGTTAAAAATAAAATGTCTAAAAATTAGACTCCTCATTAAATCTTCATCATAATATATGTATATTGTTTTTAAAACACAAAATATGCCCTTTTGAGGGAGTAGCTTCTGATTTTTATCCATAAGTTAATTTTTGCACGTTAACACTGACAGAGCTTCGTCCTGGACTCACCTTTCTCGCCCCTCTTCTTCTTGGTTCGGTCGATGTGGTCTTTGAGCTGGATGCGGACCTGCCTCTCATTGGGCTGGTCCCGAATGAAGGGGTGTTTCAGCAGCTGCTCAGTGGGAGGGCGCTGGGTGTAATTCTTCACAAGGCAACTCTCAATGAAGCTGAAGAACTTCTTTGACCTATGATGGCAGTTAGACGTCATGTACAGAGTTCGGATCGGCATGGTTTACTGATATCAAGAATAAAAGATGGAAAACATCTCACCACTTTTTGGACTTGAGTCGAGGAGGTGGGTTTCTGGGAATGAGGAAGAGGGCTCTCATTGGATGCATGTCACACAGAGCTAAAGGAAACAACAGAAGAGAAACCAAATGAGAGATCAGAAAAAAAACTAATATAAATGTCAAAGTCATACATTTAAGATGATGGGGGGGGGGTGCATCTGTATTGCCTGCATAAAAATAAGAGGTATAAATAGAAAATGTAAGTCTATAGTGAAGCTACAGTTAACAGAGTAAACAGAGTTCTCTTCTGATCATGCAGGTTTGAAACAGAAATACACCAGTAAATTTGTTTAGAATAAAAGTACCAGTTTCTACTCATTGAAATCAGGTATTGTACTTACGAGGAGCTCCCTCAGCCATTTCAATGGCTGTGATTCCACAGGACCACAGATCACTCTGAAACACAAAGAGATACGATTAGTTAGAGTCTGTGTGCTTCTCTGAGTAACACATGTGATGGAAATGACAGAGCAGTCTTCTCATTGGTCATATTAATGATTAAAACTATAATCTTTTCTATCACATGGATGATGCTCCTATTTGACTGGTTCCAAACTCATTCTGCACCATGAATCCCACTAACATCTGCGACCAGATGCAGTTTTGCATGCTCACCCTGTAATCGTAGGTAGCATCAGGGTTTTCGTCACACGCGATGACCTCTGGAGCCATCCAGTATGGCGTCCCGATGAAGGTGTTTCTTCGACCTACCGTCCGGTCCAGCTGAGCGCTCACACCAAAGTCCACTGAAAGAAACACGAAGCATTCAAATGAAGAAAACAGACTAAAACCGTTCAGATCCTGCACCAAGGCAAACTACAACTGTGAGAGGGGCCCCTCAAGTTAACTTGAGTCTGCCTCAGAGTGTAAAAGGTCAGGTTGCTGTATTTTAACCACGGTGGAGACACTTTGTTTAATGCTGTGTCACGGGACATTATTAAGCTAGGTAACACAGGATGGCCTGATTACAAGTTGCAACTGAATTGTGGATAATTAAAGGGAATAAAAACAACATTGATCGGTGGTTTCACACAAAGGTTTGGTGAAAAAGAAGCGATTTTTATACAGAAGTTAAAGCTTTTCTTTGAAAGTTAAAAACACTGTGGAGGCTGATTTACAGATCAGCACAACTGGACACTAAATCTCCAAAACTCAGAACAGATACTTCTGTCTTTTTGTGCACATATCATAAGTGAAATCAAACGTCTAGGTAGTTTTGTTGCGAGAAATTATTGTGACACTGTAATCAGAAGAAATCTAAATAAAGACCAATTTTGGAGCTGTATATAGACCTTATGTTTCATGAGGATTTGACTACACAGGCCTGCAGCTGTGCGATCATGTGAAACATTCGAAAACAAAACACTGGCAATGAGAAAGCTCCAGTTGGCATCGCCACAGTGCTGACTCAGATCTGCTGGTGCAATCGCTTTTCCATGCACCGGTCCAAAACCACAGCGCGGGAGCACTTCCCGTCTACAGGCCCGGTCTAAAGCCAACTGACTCACCCAGCTTGACTTCAGCGTTTTCAGTCAGCAGCACGTTTTGTCCTTTGATGTCGCGGTGAATGACATGATGAGCATGCAGGTGAGCTAATCCCTGGTGGGATAAAATATAAATTAAAACAACTTATTAGGAACACGGGCTGTATCAGACGGTCAAACAAGTGTTTGTTTTGTTTAAATGCAAAAGTTAAATTATTAAAAATCATACTTTTAGCAACATTTCGGACACAAATAATATAATCTAGTGAAGATGTTGGCAGCAGACTGTGAGAAATAACTGACCCTGAGGATCTCTCGGGAGATGTAGGCGATCCAGTCTTCCTTCAGCGAGTTGCCCTTGGTGTTCTTCACCAGATCTGTGATGGAGCCGGCACCACAGAACTCCATCACCAGCTGGAGGTGAGAAAGAGATGCATTTGTAACACACACACAAACGTTCACCATCATTCTACCATCAGCGTAAGACGCCATGCAGCAGTTTACTATCGATACACCATTAAGACATTAGTTGTGTATTACTGTAATGCAATATTAAGATTTCAAATGTGCTTTATTGTGTTTATTTACATTTATTACTTAATGATCTTCTTTCTTTTATTTCACTTTAATGTGTTTGATTGCACACCTTTGATTTTGTCTAATTTTTCATTATTGAGCTATTCTAGCTTACTGGGCTCTGACAATCTTATCATGTTGTATTTTATTTTAATAATCCATCCTAGTTTATTTTAAGATTTGCAGCTTGCTGAGTTTAATGGGAAATTCCTGTGTAATATAGGAATTCCCCAAATTTGGGAATAAATAAGGTAGCTTATCTCATCGTATTAGAGCTACCTTGAGCAAACAGAGCAGTTATTGAGAAACTCAGTGGTCCCAGTTAACTTTGCTTTTTCCTTCTGCTGCTGTGCAGCACTTCAGAGTATTCTTTCTGCCGTCAACAAGAGACGGCAGAAAGAATAAAAGGGAATGCGGAAGGAAAAAATGCAATCACTTCTACTAGTTTACCCTGTGCTGTGATTGAGACAGGAAGCCAACGGCTATTAGGAAATGTGGTTTTAATGCAAAAGAGAAAAGCATTAGCAAAACCACAAGCGTAGGAAGCTGGAGACAATACAAATACAGAAGTGCATCTGTTGAATCTCATGGGGTGCCCTCGTCACTGTTTTACAATAAATTTAAAGTTGGAAAGCATTTTCTGTGCACCTCAACAGGTGGCAGCTGTCATGCTGCGACCTGGGGGACTGATCCGATTCATTTTTAGTACTACATATGTGACAAACATAAAAAATCCTCAAATATGTCAAGACTGGCTCTCTAATGGTCACTAAGCCTCTGATACCGTGTCTCTTACTTGCTTACTAAAGGATATATGCCTCATAAACACATAAAGTGATCTTCTTGAGACAGTAGTCTTAAGTGGTGTCAGCACAGAACATGAATATCATAAAACAGACACACACTCTGTATGTCACCCCCACGCACGGCAGACAGCATGAATCCACAACAGTGGAGGCTATAAACGGGCGTGGAAGCAGCTGTAAAAACAAATACAGGACTGTGTTGTGAAGTGAGAGTGAGATCCCTCCTCCTCCTCCCCAGGAACAGCAGAGCCTCCGGGTCATAAAACGAGGTAATCCTGCCTCGGACAAACGACCAGCTGTAAATTTTTCCTGCTGTTGTTCTCTACTTCCTGATCCTCCCCACCTCTCCCTTCTCTGATTGACTCTCTTCCTTTTGTGCCTCACTTATGCACCATTTATTTAATTCCACAGTCTTGTTGCTCTTTTCTAGAAATCTGTTTTGTTTTTTTGTGTTGCTGTCATTTCTTTTACTGCTCTTCAAATATGAAGAACTGCATATTGGCTGTAATGAGGAAAATGCATAAAGCAACTTCAACTCCATATCAGCTGGAGAGCTTTCTGACTTCATGGTATGTAATATCTCTCTTATCTGTCATCACACAATCAAATAACTTTCTAAAAATAACAGTGTACACTTTGGCTGTTATACAGGAATCCCTAATATTGTTTAGTTTGTCTTTTTTTAGCCTGGCAAATCTTTTCATTACAGTCTCAAAATACCTTCTAACGTGTGATGATAACACACTGAATGTATGCAAAATCAAATCTTGTTACGTGATCTTACAGTTCCTGCTTGAATATGAATTTAATCCTACTCCGTCCCTTTGCTCAATAACTCCACAAATGTTCTAAATTAGGATTCTTCAAGATTTGGTTCATTAAGATATATAACACCCAGCACGCCCCTGCGGGCGGTTTATCCTTCAAGCTCGGGTCCTCTACCAGAGGCCTGTGAGCTTGAGGGTCCTGCGCAGTATCTTAGCTGTTCCCAGGACTGCGCTCTTCTGGACAGAGATCTCCGATGTTA